TTTTTTCTATTTTTCGGGTCATTGTTGATTTGATATTTCTGCTAACTTCGACTGCATGCAAAGATCGTAAGTATTTGCGGTAATCGAATTACTCTGAAACAAGTTATCTTGCATCGATCAAGATGAACAGATAAAGTCCTTCAGGAATAATTTTATGTACAAATTTTATATTTCCGTTTTGTTTATTTTTCGATTAATCATTGATTTGATATCTCTGCTAACCTCGACTCCATATAAAGACCGTAAGTATTTCTGGTCATCGATTTGGCTTGAAACACATTATTTTATATTAATCAAGATATATATATATATATATATATATATATATATATATATATATATATATATATATATATAAAGTTCTTCAGGAATATCTTCCTTTCTAAATTTTATGTTTTCGTTTTGTTTAATTTCGGTTCACCGTTAATTTGATATTTCTGCTAACCTCGACTGCATATATAGCTGGTAAGTATTTCTGGTAATCGAATTATACTGAAACAGGTTATCTTGTATTAGTCAAGATGTACACATCAAGCCACTTCAGGAATATTTTTATTTATAAATTTTGTAATTTCGTTTTGTTTATTTTTCGATTAATCGTTAATTGGATATTTCTGCTAATTTCGGCTGCATATATAGTTGGTATGTATTTCTGGTAATCGAATTACACTGAACCAAAGTTATCTTGTATTAGTTAATCAAGTCCCTCCAGGAATATTTTTAATTATAAATTTTATGTTTTCGTTTTGTTTATTTTTCGATTAATCGTCAATTGGATATTTCTGCTAATTTCGGCTGCATGTAAAGAATGTAAGTATTTCTGCATTTGTCAAGATGTACACATCAAGTCCCTTCAGGAATATTTTATTAATAAATTTTATGTTTTCGTTTATTTTTCGGTTTATTGTTGATTTGATATTTGTATTAACTTCGACTGCTTATAAAGGGGGTAAGCATATTTCTATAATCGAAATACACTGAAACAAGTTATCTTGTATTTGGCAAGATGAACACATAAAGTTCCTTCAGGATTATTTTTATTTATAAACTTTGTTTCCGTTTTTTCTATTTTTCGGGTCATCCTTAATTTGATATTTCTGCTAACTTCGACTACATACGAAGATGGTAAATATTTCTGATAATCAATTTACTCTGAAACAAGTTATCTTGCATCACTCTAGTTGAACACATGAAGTCCTTCAGAAATATTTTTATTTATAAGTTTTGCTTCCGTTTTTTCTATTTTTCGGGTCATCGTTAATTTGGTATTTCTGCTAACTTCGACTGCATACGAAGATGGTAAATATTTCTGATAACCGATTTACTCTGAAACAAGTTATCTTGCATCAGTCTAGATGAACACACGAAGTCCTTCAGAAATATTTTTATTTATAAATTTTGTTTATGTTTTTTCTATTTTTCGGGTCATCGTTAATTTGATATTTCTGCTAACTTTGACTGCATACATAGATGGTAAATATTTCTGATAATCGATTTACTCTGAAACGAGTTATCTTGCATCTGTCTAGATGAACGCCTGAAGTCCTTCAGAAATATTTTTATTTATAAATTTTATGTTTGTGTTTTGTTTAATTTCCGGGTCATTGTTAATTTGATATTTCTGCTAACTTCGAACGCATACATAGATTGTAAGTATTTCTAATAATCGAATTACTCTGAAACAACTTATGTTGCATTAGTTAATATGTACACATAGAGTTCGTTAAGGAATATTTTCATTTACACATTGCACGTTTTCTTTGGTTTTTCATTTTTTGGTTCGTCGTTAAATTGATATCTCCGCCAACTTCGACTGCATATGAAGGGAGTAAGTATTTCTAATAATCGAATTACTCTGAAGCATGTTTTCTTGCATCTGTCAAGATGTATAAAGTTCCTTCATGGTTACATATATTTATAAATTTTATTTTATTTTTCGATCCATTATTATTTTGATATTTCTCCAACTTTCGACTGCATATTAAGTGGGTAAGTATTTCTAATAATCGAATTCCTCTGAAAGAAGTTGTCTTGTATTACCTAAGATGTCCATATAAAGTTCCTTTTGTATATAAATTTTCTTATTTTTCTTTAATATTTATATCATCGAATTTATATGAAGTAATGTGTAAGTATTTCTGATAATTGAATTACTCTGAAACAAGTTATGTTGCATCAGTCAAGACGTGCACATAACCTTCCTTCAGCAATGTTTTCATTTCTAATATTTATGTTTTGTTTATTTTTCGGGTAATCGTTAATATGATATATCTTTTTGGTAATCGAATTGCTCGGAGTGAAATACGATATCAATCACGATGTACACGTAAACTTCCTTCAGGAATATATTTTTATTTATTTATACATTTTATGTTTACGTTTCTTATTTTCTGTTCATCCTTAATTTGATATATCTGCTAACTTCGACTGCATGTAAAGGGAGTAAGTATTTCTTATAATCGAATCACTTTGAAACAAGCTTCATTGCACTAATCGAGATATGCCACATAAAATTAAGGGTTTTCTTTTTATTTATTTATTTTTTTTATTAATCGATTCATCATTAAATTGATACTTCGGCCAACTTCGGCTGCATATATAGGGTGTAAGTATATATGATAATCAAATTACTCTGGAACAAATTATCTGATTTTTGTCAAGATGTACCCGTAAGATTCCTTCAGGAATATATTTATTTATGAATTTTATTTTATTTATTTCTCATTTCATGTATAAATCGTTTATATCCGTTTTCCTATTTTATGGTTTATAATCAATTTGACATTTCTGCTAACTTCTGCTAACTTCACATGCATGTAAAAAGGGAGTAAGTCTTTCTTATAATCGAATTACACTGAAACAAGTTATCTTACATTAGTCAAGATTTACACAAAATGTTCTCTCACGGTTATCCTTATTGATGAATTTTGTTTTATTTATTTCTCATTTCCGTTTTCATCATCAATTTGACATTTCTGCTAACTTCGATTGTCCAAAAAGACCGTAAGTATTTCTGATAATCGAATTAATTTTAAACAAGTTGTTTTACATCAGTCAAGATGTACACATAAAGTTCTTGCACGAATATTTTCCTTTCTAAATTTTATGTTTTCGTTTTTTTCGATTTTTCGGTTCATTGTTAATTTGATATTTCTGCTAACTTCGACTGCATATAAAGGTGGTAAGTAATCTGGTAATTGAATTATACCCAAGCAACTTATCTCAAATTAGCCAAGATGTGCGCGTAAACTACCTTCAAGAATATATTTGTTTATGAATTTTGTTTTATTTATTTCTTATTTTTGTTTTCACGATCCAATTTAACATTTCTACTAACTTCGATTGTCCAAAAAGACGGTAAGTATTTCTGATAATCGAATTGTTCCGTTATGTGGAAATAACTTGTTTTCGGCAATATATATATTTATGAGTTTTGTTTTATTTATTTTTTATTTTGTGTATAAATTTTATATTTCCGTTTTCCTATTTTACGATTCACCATCAATTTGATATTCCTGCTAACTTCAAATGCATGCAAAGAAAGTAAGTATTTCTTATAAGCGAATTACTCTGAAGTTATCTTGTATTAGCCAAGGTTAAGACATATAGTTCATTCAGGAATATATTTATTTATAAATTTTGGTTTGTTCTATTTTTTGGTTCATCATGAATTTTATATTTCTGCTAACTTCGACCATACATAAAGATCGTAAGTATTGCTTGTAATCGAGTTACTCTGAATGAAGTTATCTTGTGTTCGCCAAGATGTGTATATATAGCCCGTTCAAGAAAGTATTTTATTCATAATATTGATATTTTATTTTTTTATTTTTTTTTGGTTCGTCGTTAATTTGATATTTCTGCTAACTTCGACCGTACATAAAGGCTGTAAGTATTGCTGGTAATTGAGTTACTCTGAATGAAGTTATCTTCCCGTTCAAGAACATATTTTATTCATAATATTGATATTTTAATGTTTTTTTTTTTTTGGTTCGTCGTTAATTTGATATTTCTGCTAACCTCGACTGCATCTAAAGACGGTAAGTATTTTTGGTAACCGAATTACAACGAGAGAATCAAATTATCTTGTGTTAGTCAAGATGTATACATAGACGTCGTTCACAAATGTTATTATTATTATTATAAATTTAATGTTTTCGTGTTTATATTTTCCGATTCATCATGAATTTTATATTTTTGCTAACTTCGACCATACGTAAAGAAAGTAAGTATTCCTCGTAATCGAATTAATCTAAAATAAGTTATCTCGCATTTATCAAAATATAGGAATAAATTTCCGCGAGAAATGTATTTTATTTAAAAAAATTTTTGTATTTTTTTTATTTCTCGATTCATCGCTAATTTGATGTTGCTGCTAACTTCGACTGCATATAAAGTGAGTAAGTATCTCTGATAATCGGATTTTTCTGAGAGAAGTTATCTTAAATTGGAGAAGATGTACTCTTCAAATTCTAGCAGGGATATATTTTATTTATGAAATTTTGTGTTTTTTCGTTTTTTTTTTATATATTTCGGTTCGTCGTTAATTTCATATTTGTGTTAACTTCGACTGGGTATGAAGGGTGTAAGTATTTCTGATAGAAAAACTTCTCTTATATCAGTCAAGATGTTTCTCTTCTGTGATATATATATTTATAAATTTTATGTTTTCGTTTTTTCTATTGTTCGGTTCATCGTTAATTTGATTTTTCTGAAAACTTCGACTGCATATAAAGTTGGTAAGCATTTCTGATCATTGAGTTACTCTTAACTTACTTACTTTGTTGGGCATCATTCAAATTGCCTTGTGTTTCTCAATATAAAACAAAAAGTTCCTCTACAAATAATTATATTTGTAAATTTTTGAATAGTTTTATATTACCATGTCCTAAAACATTCTAAAATTCTGTATCTACTTCGCCAAAAACAGCTTGTGCGTACATATGGGGACCGGAAAATCTCCCGCATTTGGGAAAGTATATCCAAAAGCCACGAAATCAAATCAAACCAAATGGTATGTATTCTCGCTCATTCAACTTCAAAAGCATATGTTGGCTTATAATAACATTTAGATCCTTGTTCCATACCCGGACCGCCGGGATCTAATTATTATTTGCAATGGAAACATGGACGAGTGAAAGGTTTGTAATACATTCGTGCTGATTGGGTAATGACGAAAAAAACTTATTTTTAAAACTTTACAGATTACAAATTTACCTGGCAATGGGATGAAGGTAAGTTTTAATGCAATTTCTGTTTTATTAGGAAAAACTTATTTACGCTACTGTTGCTCGGAAAAAATATTTTATTATGTCTGTCAATAATTATAGAAATGAATTGCGTGAAAAAAATATATTATAACGAAGATGGCTACTACGTTTCACATGGTAAAAAAAGTACAAAAGGTTCCCCAGGTATGCATTTGTGTTAATTGTCTTCTAAGGTGAAAAACTAATATGCGTAAAAAATATAGGTTGTTATTGGTTTAATTTAGAAGGAAAAAAGCCGGGATTTTATAAATGGAATCATGGAAAATTACCAAAGTGTATGTATCAGTACTGTTCGCCTTTTATTGTAAGAAAATCACTTATACCGGCTATATATATAGATTTGACTGCGCTAGTGGAAAAACGAATTATAGCGACTCGGAAGCACAAAGCTGAGGAACAGTCAAAAGGTACATGCAATTGTGTTGCACGAAAACACTTTTATCGTATTTGTCAAAGGAGATGAGTTTTAATTGATTTATATTTATTAGCATTAGCACTCAAAGAAATAAGTGCATCACCTGTTCAAGATGTGACACCTATTCGAGGTATGTGTAATTGTGTTGCACAAAAACACTTTTATCGTATTTGTCAAAGAAGATGAGTTTTAATTGATTTATATTTATTAGCATTAGCACTCAAAGAAATAACTGCATCACCTGTTCAAGATGTGACACCTATTCGAGGTATGTGTAATTGTGTTGCACGAAGACAATTTTATTATATCATTTATCTATACTTCTTTACATGAAAAATTTCGTATTACCAACCTCAGAGTCAAAATGGACGACCGTTCCACTTCCACAAGGCAAGTGCGGTCTTGTCGCATCAAAACACTTTTATTTTTATTATTATATATTTATTATATCTGCACAACAAAGATGAGCTTTAATTGATTTGAGTTTGTTTCGTTACACGACAACCATCCGCATGCATCATCCATTCTAGCACCCAAACAACTAATTGCGGCAACTACTCGAGGTATGTGTAATTGTGTTGCATGAAAATAACTTTATTAAATCACTTACCCGTAATTCTTTACCTGCAAACACTACTTGTTACCCACATCAGAGCCAATATCGATGAACGTTCCATCTCCCCAAGGCAAGTATGGTCTTGTCGCGCCAAAATACTTTTCTTATTTTTATATATTTATTGTATCCGAAGAGGAAGTTGAGTGAGTTAACTAATTGAAGTTTTTTTCTTTGCTTTGCAACACTACATACCGCAACTATTTTTGGACCAGGAGCACAAACTGCGGTAGCCATGCAAGGTACATGCAGATTATGTTCGACGAAAAAAGTTTTCTTATGTCTTTCAAAAAAAGCTAAGCATTATCTAATTTGTATTTGTCTCTTTACATGGCACTACAATGCATCAACGTTAGCATCACCACCGCTTCCATACGGGCTGGCGCCCTCCTATTATTATCAGCCATGGCCTATGGACCAGCCTGAAACCGTGAACATCTTTCTATAAACTTGCATTTATATTTAGCGGGGTTGCTTATTTTGATTTTCCTTACAAGTGGATAATAATTGTAAATAATTTCATTACTAATATTAATATAATTTTGAAATTATTTGCTAAGTAATATTAAAATAAAATTGATTGTACTAATCGAACTATCAGAGTTTCTTTCGGCGCCATATAGTCGATGAGAGTGTGCATGGCAAGGGCAGTTTAACTAAATTATACAATGACAAATTCAAGTATAATTACTAATTTTTTATTAATATTATTATTATTATTAATTTCACTGGGCAATCTAAGAGTTAAAGGCGTTCACACGGTAGCCTCTGAGGCTATCGGCTCTTAATTACGAGATATTAATTAATTTTATGAATAAAAAGCATTTCAAACATGTTCCAAGCCCATTTGGATTAAATATTTATTTGATAATTTATGGCAACGAATTTCGTAATTATGCAACGTTAGTTAACGGAGGATGATCTTGATAGTAAGTAAGTTTTTACTGTGCGGGAAGAATTGGATACATCGTGCTTATGCATCCCATGGATTGCATTTTCTTCTTCTTCTTTCTATTCTTCTATAATGGTTCCCACATTTTTCAAGTTACGAGTTTTATTTCGTTTTTCGTTCAATTTTTATTACAGAATCCATGCAATATCTATATATGAAAGTAGAATACAAAGATATGCTAGGTAAACCTAGGTAAGAGGGCATCGCACGTACGTAAGTTCCTACGAGATTTCCTTTGTTTGTATTTCCCGGTCTTCTTGGTATTGCACGAATGGAAACTTTTCTTTCATCTTGGGAACTGCCTGGACACGTACATTTGGCCGGGAGCTCCAAAAAATGGAAACTACTTTTGAGATCTACAAGTTCATTTCGCCAGAGGTTTTCTCCTAGAGAATTCTGTTGTATGTACGCTCAAGCGTGCGGTTATAAGGACAATTACAGTCCTAGCAGGAGTAAAATCTGACAATAAGTTACCAAAATTTATTTGTAGGTTAATTTTTTCGGCAGACAAACTAGTTAAGGATACCCGTCTAACAATTGCCAACTCAGGCATATATTGTGTGCATAGATCCGTTCGAATAATGAGTTTTTACTTTTTTAAATGAACTTCGATAAAATTCTCAAGTAAATGAACGATATTTAATAAATTATTAAATATTAGTTAAATCGTCAAAGCATTTCATAAATTTTCGTACTTTTACTAAAGAAAAAATTTAAGAAAAAAAAAAGAATTTTTTAAGACAAGCTCGGAATAGAATCTTAAGCATCTTTTATTGACGGCAACCGTGTCAATATCTTATTCGCTGAATTATGTATTTTCTGAAGGTTTTCACATGAATATTGCATTGCAAGAGAATTATTTGAATTAACTCTCCGGTCTAGCAGAATATACAAACACAGTGTGGCGGTTACTCTTAAGGTTTACAATTGTGCCCAATGTTTGGTCTTTTAGCAAAACAATAAACGTCAATAGCTTAAGACATTCCTTGTATAGCACACGATCATATCATGTAGAAATCTTTCCTTCGATTCGTTTCTAAGGAGGAAATCAATAAAATTGGATTTAAAATACATTAATTCTTAAAGATGGTGGGAGTAGATATAGCGGGGGGATATGTGGTGGGAACTAAAGTGATGTGAAAAGAAGATGGAAGACTTCATTTTGAATCGAAATGTGTTGAATTTTGCCCTATTGAGAAAACTGTATTGGAGGGTACGTACTCAATCTAAGGAATAAAGGCATTTTATACAAGAGTATCTTCCTACCCATCTTGACCTATGGCCTACAATTGTGAAGAAAATCCCGTAACTCTATTCATTTAGTTTCACAGCTGCAAGCTCTACATATTTCTTGCTTTTATTATCATAACTTAGCTTAACGCAACCTAATGCAATGTAACTTTAGTTATAACTTAATTTATCCACTAATCTAAACTAGGAAGATAACCTTGATCTACCAAATGTATTAGCGTAAGCACAAAGAACTTCAGTTTAGTTTAGTTAAGTTATAAGCATTTGCAAATAAATCAAGAAACAGTCAGTGATAAGCAGTCAACAGTGAATAGTCAACAAAGTCAAAGTTATTAACACTAAAACGCTACTGAGCTTAAAAATTTTCTGATGTTTCATCGCATAATAGTGGAAGATTTTTAAAATCTCATATCAACTTCTACAAAATATGGTTCTCTAAGCTCATTACTCATAAATTATGAAAGACAGTGCTTTAAAATTTCATCTACATTTACTTTATGGAGGTCCCTACCATTCCACGTATAAAATTGGAAAAAATCACCCATACTCACGCAAAGTTGTAAGTGATCACATGTGCCTTTATAGAGAAGAAATTGTTATTATTCAGCATCCATTCGTTCGCATGACCGCCTTATATTTAGCAGAAGTTAAAATCGACTAATTCGCCTGAGTAGCCGAGGGCGAGGAATCTCGACTAGCAAGTCAATGGTCGTGGGTTCGAACCTCAAGTGCGGTAGAGTTTTTAATAAAAGCCGATAGCTTTAGATGCTAATGCTTTTAAGAGCTTAGTCTTAGAATTTATTTCTCTGGCGAAATTAATAATAATAATAATAATAAAATCGACTAAGAACAGAATATTTATAATCCCAGCTAAATATTCCACAAATCTTCGTTCAAGGTAATTGGAATTGCAATAGACGAATCCTGTACATAGCAGTGCACGATTTCCATTACGCAATTAAGCTTTGAATCTCTCAGTTTTGACTCTGGTAAATGGAAATTTTCACCTTTGATGTTTATTTGGCCAGCAATCTAAAATTGTCGTACATTCGTCGATGCTGGCTGGAATGTTGTAGCATTCTCCTGGCAAAGTCGCCGTTTAACAATAGTTTGTCCCCGTTGACGTCATTTTCATAAGTTTTGGTTGTTGTGAAACAACGTTCGAGTGAGCTTACCTCCCCTATGAATCAAATTCACACTCGTTGATTTGGTGTCAAAGCTCTTTTCGAACGGCTTGTGTTCTCTATCCTGTTCCCATTATTATTGAAATGCGATTTTCAAATGAGTTTTAAGGTACAAAGTCGCCTATTATGTAGCTTATTCCTTTTTGGGATAGCGGTAATGGGTATAAAGATTCGGCCGCATCTATACATAATTTACTTATTTAATTCTATTAAAAAAATATAATAAATAATTATCGTATGAAAAAAAGTTCTGCAGTGGAAACTAGAAATATCGATTGCAGAAGTCAAGCTCTTCAAGGTGCATGTCTTATTAAGGAAAACACTCATGCCTTAATGTTTTAATTGTGAAGCAGAAAGCGTAAGTATGGGTGCAAAGCAGTTGCAATAATACCGTCACGGAAGTGAAGCAAATCGAAGCAAATTAAGTCATTTTCTAATGCTTAAGGGGGAACTAAGAGGAACTAAAAGGAACTAAAAATGATAAAGTACTTCGATGTGTTTTACTTACTTACTCTAATTTCCTCTTTGCAGATATGAAGCATTTTATCATACATGATTGCATTTAGGCCGATTACATGGCTTGAAAGCCATTTTCTTTTTCTTTTATCTAAGAGTTTTTTCATTTTCTTAACAGTGAAAGAAGAGGAATAAGCTAAAATGCTATTGCATATGCATATGTCTTCAGTGCCTGAAAAAAGCAAAAATTATTTAAAGAAATGTGAAAAAACAAAAAGAAAATAAAGAGTTAAAGACAAGATATGCTTAGTAATTTCAAAAAAAATTTGTATTTTATCATTATTTAATTGAAGTTGTGTGAGCAAATAGGTTTTTGTATATCTAGATTTATATTCGAGCTAAGTGAATAAAGTAGCTCAGCAGTAGTAGTAGCTTAGTAACGTTACAGCATTATAAGGGCATTTATTGCAAGCGTTGTGTGTTTGTTATTGTTTACCTTATATTAGTGCTAAACAATATCCTGACCTCCTTTAAAATTTTTCATATTAATTAACATACTTAGTAGAATGCAAGCTACATGCAGATGTGTATCCTGAGCTAATAAGAAAACAACTCTAGTTTATGAATGAACAAATGTTTGCGTTGTGTTTTTGATGACTTTTTGTTATTGTTAGTTTTTCAATGCCTATGCACGTATATGCACGTATTGTTTGTTATCAAAGTGTTATATCTTACGCATACGCTTAGACATACGTAGGTGCGTAACTCACTCGCATATGGGTATATTGTTATAATTTAATATGCCACCATATGATTAAAAGTGGTCTGCCGCGATGTGTATGTGCGTATGCAAGAGTATGATTCAATTTCTCTTTAGTCTTCAGGGCTTTTGCGGTTAATGCAAATTTCGAGCATCACCAGTATTCAATTTTGAAATGGTTGTACATATACTTGCAAACATGCTATACATGCAATACATGCAATGCATGCAATACATATTTACACCTGCTTAACATTATACGACGACGCACACGACATACGTGCTTATTGTTACGCATGTACGTCTATTAAGTTCTTTGTGTTCTTTGGCATATGTGTCTTCGGTCCGTGCCCGTAGATATGCTTGAATGTGAATGTACGCTTCATATTGTTCCTGGCGTGTATAATATATACGCATATTTTATAGAAATTCCAACAGCTTCGTGACGTTATATGCATTCCATATAACATTTATGTGTTTTAAATAATTCATACGTCCGAGTTTCATACATGTCTTAAAATATTTACTTTCAATAAAATTTCATATTTTGCATATAAAATGTAACAATTTTATGAACCTTTAACAAAAAGTCTTAAAGGAAGAGTTTGGAAGCAGGCAACTGGAGTCCATATATGAAGGGATCGAGTTTTACTTAGGTCATCAAAACGCCAGCAATTCACCCAACCACGCTTCACAGACTCTATATATTTTTATATTTTTGATCTGTGCCAAATTTTGTACAGATTCAAGTATACGTCCCTCCGTCCGTCAGGCTGGCCCTCGCAGAGCTAGGTTGTATTCACAACGAACAACGAGCATACGTTTTTCAATGCGTAAGGAAAGTCGGTGTGGAAATGACGGAAAACCTGACCAATGATTGCGGTTCTTCTGGGAAATTTCCTGATGGCTGTGGTTACTCAAATTGCGAGGATAACGTAGGGCGCAGATATGCCTCGCCTCGCTCAGATTGTATTCAAATTTTCACTTCTGATACTCCAATTTTGTTATAGGCCCTCTCAAAGGCACGATTGTTTTTCAAACTGGGACGTGACAGGTACCGCTTCAATGGAACTCATAAATTTTTGATCTTATTCTAATTAAGTCTTACGATAGTGTGTAGACATTGACTTCAAAGGCAATTTGTCCTCAAAAGTCGACATTGTCGATTAAAGCAACCACTAATGGAAAGGGTGCCACTCAGGTACTTCTTAGTTCGGTCAACGCATCTCAATCTTTAAGATATGTTGTAATTAAGTTTATTATATTGATATGCTTTGGTTCAAAGATGAAGCAGTAGTTGAAAAGGCTTGGATCGTGCCGAGCCTTACTTTGAAAAACTAATTTTTTGAAAAAATATATAATTTTTTGATTTTGTTACGAAAAATCGGAAAAACGGAGTAATTTGTTGGAACGTTTGACCCCGATGTGAGCAAATTGGTACACACATCTACTTGCTTGAAAGTTCTTTGCAGAGCCTTTGATTACAGTTGCTACGCACTTAATGAATACATGAACGGATTCTTAACTTAAGCTGATAGGCGTGGAAACATTGAAAATCTTTTGATACAATTTCTGATCTGCTTTGAAAATTCATTTTTATCTGTAATGGTTAGTTTTGTTTATTTATTTTTCATCTAACACGCCAAAAACACTCATAAACAATTAATAACAACTACATGTTACCACAAATACATACTTGAGGGTAAATAAAACTTTTTATCTTGCTTGTTACATGTTTTCGCTTTGTTGCCGATCAGCATGTGCCTGCTAAGTAAATAGAATAATAAAACAAAGCTAAAGCGCCTCTAGGGTGTGAAAAACAACCACTCGACACAAAGAACTAACAACACCAAGATTGGAAGCATAAACAAACATAAAAAAAAGAATGTATATATATATATACATATATATATATATGAATACATAGTTCTAGTCAAACACATTATGTGCATAACGACGGCTATAAAATGTGCAACAGGTGCTTTTATGTGTTTCTTACGGCAAAGTGAAAGCTATATTTGCACACGAGTTGTAAAAACGGATAAAATAAACAACTGTAGTTGTATAAGAAAATCTGATATGGTATGGAATTGTATGCACATAAAAAGAAATAGACAGTGTGACGGACTTTGAAACATCTCAGACACGTATTTTGCAATCGAATAAACGACAAAGCAACCTTTTATCTGGATATAATAATGCTGAAGTCTGAAGTAAAGTAACTTACTTGTATTTGCACAACTATTGGACAATACACACGGTGTACTAAGGCGTATGAGTTATAAGATAAAAAATAACGCATATACGTACCCAGGTTGTTTTATAAATGCAGTTGTCGTGTGTTACGCATACAAATTTTATATTTACGATAATAATGAAAAGGGGTTGAAATAAATCAATGAATTTCTTAAATTTTTTCCGGATGTTTCCGGTGGCGTTCTAAATATCATAAGCTTTGTAAGCTTTCCATTGAAAACCACGTTTAGTGTTAAAATATTATTATTATTATTATTATCATTTTCATTATTTATTTTACACGTCTGCGTTTCCAGACATTTAATTGTATTTGTGTTAACGCAATCAAAATGTAAACAAACTTTGCTAACCGGCATATTGAGTTTTGTTTATTTAATATATAATTATCCAACACATGCGCACAAAACTCTTATATTGTTATTCTCAAAGCTCTTGTCTTATCTTAAATTTCTTATATTTGGATATTAAAAATCTTGTATAAAAATACTCTACTTTCTAACGACTTGTTAGTTATACTTTGGCGCACGGTTGATTAACTACTCAACAACTACTGTGGACTACTACAATAATATATGGAATAAATTTAAAAAAATAACAACAAAACTTTTAATATTAAATTTTTGATTAAAAGAATTTCAAAGCTTAACTACATGAATTTATATAAAACAATGTTGTAATAGCGGCAAAGGTTTTTTTATCCACAAAGTTCTCGCGGTAATAACGAGAATAAGAACGAAACCGTCTACGTACATTTTGGATTACTTTTACTTTGTGATGGCATTTTAATACACCACCTTTGATTTGAGTAAGTTGAAAGTGCGATTTTTTGACGAGTACAGTCATAGTTCGGGATATAACACTGCATGCATCATATAAAATTATACATAAACATAAACACAATTAAATATAAATCTATGCATATAATAATATGCACACTTAGGTTGTTTATGTTTTTACTTAATTTATGTTATGTTTATGTTTAGATAATTTTAGCAGCCAAAAGTGTGGATATATTATATTATGCTCATCATTCTTCTTATACACTCAGCTATACTCCCAAGTATGTACTTATTTAATTAATTGATGAAATTAAATTCAAGCCAATATGCATCGCATTTAGTTAAGCAGACAGAGAAGAAAATAATGAAAATCATCTGTAGCATGTCACATAAATATGCCAGATATCAAGTAGAATCTGGATATTTTGCTATTAGCCTAATGCAATGCTATGTATGTATTAGATTACGGATAAGCAGATGTCATCTGAATCGAAGCACTACGCTGTTTCTTATCAAAGAAAACTCTTATCGTTTATCGATATTTTGATCTAAGAAGTGCAATGCTTTTCTCGCATAAAAAATTTGCTCTACATTGCTTATGTCCTATCATTCTCTATTTTGTACTTGTTATTCATTATATTCTACATTATGCCCGCAACAGATCAAAAACTTTATTTCTGACTGCTGGCTAAAAACCAATATTGACGTCTTTCCTTAGATTGGATTTAATTGCAATTCGTGAAATCTTAAAACGAATTTTGGGAGAATTTTCACTTGTTGAAAACTTCTTACTCGCTTTTCATCATACATTGATGTCTCTGATGAAAATTTTGCTCAGAGCAAACGTTGCTTAGAGCCAAGTTTAAAGCATTACGTAAGACTTTTTGAAATTTTTTCTGGAATCCTCGAGGCCTAATGCTATTTCTCGTGTTAGCGATAATAAATATTACAGATGAGATTTGTTTTTTTTTTTTTGTTTTTTTATTTATGTATTTCTTTTTCAATCTGATCAAAAAGATAAAAAGTAAATATTACAGTGAAGATGCCATGTTTAACCAACTTTGCAGTCTTAGAAAATTCAGAAAAACACTGTAAGGAGCAAAAATAAATTAATTTCTATATGGAAGATCCACTATGAGATGCATTTTTGAAATTCTTCTCATATTGAGATATGAGAAGAAGAGATATCGTCTAGGACTTTACATGAGTGCCTAGCCCGATAGGATGTTTTGATGAAAGCAATTGGATTAGAGATTCTTAACATATAGAATGTCTAGATCATCACTAATAGTTTCACTGCTAACGAATCGCCCGACACTAAGAATAAGACGGAGAATTTCATATTGGGTATTTCTACATTAAAGGTATTGGCTGCTGCTCACTATAACTTCAAAAACGTTAAAGTAGGTTGGCAACTGTGGGATAGAAATAGTGGATGTGTACCTACTAAAGAGATTTTCATTTTGATAGCGTCTCTTCTCAGCTGCTAGGTTTCAGTACGCCAAGTCTTCTTTCCTCTTATATTGCCAGTTATTTTTTGTTTACGTTTTTGGTTTGTGGCACACTTTAAGCGAAAGCATGTCTGCAACGATATGCAGTCACACTACCCTACTCTTAAATAAAATGTATTTACTCTTTAGGTTAAGCTGACATCCTAGACGAAGTAACCAATAGAGCTTTTTGATTTCTGAGCCTAGATGGTGGCGGTAGGTTTTTCATGTTAATTATTCGTTGTTTGGTAAGGCCAAGGGACTTCACAAAGTTATTGATGGCGACATTATTCTGTTCAAAGACAGCAAAGTCAAAGTTTGTTATGCGCAGACTGCATAGATTCTTCTGATATAAGGAACAACAGGAGTACGTTGCTCGGTGGTATCATGTTTACTCTGAATGAGTTGGAAAGTGTTACCAGCAAACTAATTGGTCTATACGAGCTTACAGCATTTTCTGGCTGCCATAATTATTTCTGCGCTTTTCCATTGAGCTGGAAAGTGATTCAATTTTTTGATATTATTAAAAATTAACTTTAGGAAGATGAGAGCTATAGGTAGTAAACATATAATAATTGATCCACTTATGTCATTTTTTTATGCTTAATAAATTCACTGTATCTGTGACAACAACATGAAACATGGACTGGCCAGAAAGTTCGAGATTTGAAATCACGAAAGTATAAAAAGTCTCTTTTAGAGAAAGAGAGAGATTTTCAATTTTCAAAGTAGCGTACTCGGATATACTTAAATTAAATAAATGAAGCAAAATAAAAGGTTAAACTAGTAAAAAAAGTTGATAATGAGAACATTAAAAACATTGCAGATATAGAAGACGTCTTTAGCTGTCTTGACAAGGTCTTAAGTAATTTGTTGCATTATTTTAAAATTTTTGCTATTTTCTTGAAGCAGTCAAAGTAATTATGCACACTAAGTTAGGCAAAGAAATATTGCAGAAGTCGCTTGCAGCACATAAGCTGCACATTTTAATTTACCTAAAAGAAGATATATATGTAAACCGATTTAATGGATGTTGCGGTAAACAGAGAAAAACACTTTTCTTATAAAAAGATGCGCTTACGATAGCATCTAGAGAATGTTTGAAAGGCATTCTTGCACATTTATAAATGCAGAAAATCAATTTTATTCTCTTATTGCACTACCAACTATTACAATGATTATCATATATGTCGAGGTGTGCATATAGTAGGGAATTTCTATCGATTCCCAATGGAGGTTGAGTGTGCTTTGTTCTACGCTCAACACCCGTATCCTCTTTAATATTTCCATAAATATAAATGTAGAATGTGAAATTTGTGTATATGTATGTACATGTACATCTATATAAACATATAAAATGTAAATGTATGCAATGAACTCAAGCAATAGAAATCCTTGAACTTTTGTTGTATACTCCGTATAAAAGATGACTTTTTACTTCGAATACGAGAGGATAAACAAATCATATTGAGGGGGAATAGAAAAAGAAAAACACAATTAAAAAAGTTTTTCTTCTAAACTCATTAGCTGCAAATAAAAAATAAAAGGAAAGAATTAATTAATTGTAGATTATGTTATGCCAGAAAAAGTTCTTGTCGCCTTATAAGCGGCTTTATTGTCGCTCAGATCAAAGCAATATATGATGGCTTAACGGCCAATATCGTGTTAGCGATGTGCTGGCGATATTTAATAGGAAAACGTTCTCCAAAATGTGTGGCACCGCAGTTCTTTTCTCTCTTAGCTTTTTCGCAGTCTTTCTTTAGCATTTCTAGGGTCATTTACCTTCTCCACGTATACATATATACATTTATATTTATATGATATAACTTCTTTCAAAAATTGGCGACTATTATCTGATTTATACAATTTGTAAAATACAGATTTGTTTCTTCAGGTAACGTTGACGTCTATGAAGCAAAGATTCAGGAAAAGCAGTAAAGTCCTCTAGTAAAGCTACCAGAAGTTTTTTAACGTTCCCGCCCACTCGTCCTGATGATGCCCGTACAACGTGGCCCAATAGGTAAGAATCGCTAAGACAATGTTTAAATCCCTGTGACATCGACTTTACTTTGGCTGAAGCTATCGTAAGTAGTGAATCGGTCAAGAAATAATGGACTGACCCATTAGTCTACGGCTATCTCCCTATGTGTCTCTCTTTCCTTGCGGAGCATCCTCTTGGCGATTGATTGGATATTAAAACAAGAAAAAGCGCACAAGATCAAGTTTCATCCCGTTACTCTTTAAACACACTACCGGACTTTGAAAAAAGATGCTTGCAGTGGTTTTTTCGCTCTTTCCAAATGACTCGACTTTTTAGTCGACCGTACATAAATAGTACTTGCCTTCTCTCTTTTATAATCTCCTAAGCAAGACTGTGCCCACATATGTCGGGATTATTTTTTACTTGAATGGAAAAGAGTACAAATTTCTCTTTAGCGTTATTAACGTTGATTTATTTAACCATTGCCTACTGCTATTGTCTAAACTATTAATTATCTGATGTAAGAATCTTTTACTGTAAAGAGTTCTTAATGATTGTTTGATACTACAACGCACTCATGACCGGCACATGTTTGGCTGAGTACATCATAAGACAAAAACAGAAAGAATCTATATATATATATAAATAATAAACCATTTCGCGAGTGCTCTGCTTGTGAATTATAATTAAATATCTTTCATGTTTTGCCATTTTGCGTTATATTACAAAAAAATTCCTCTTAATTCAATTTAACCCATTTGCTTATTTGCTGTAAAGTGTAGATAAATAATAAAAAAAAAAAAAAAAAAAAAATTATCTCTGTTTTTCATGCTTCGCTTTTTTAATTAATTTTGAAAGCTTTTTAAGTGCGTGAACAATTATTTTAATATTTAATTTTTTTCTTTCAAAAAAAAAAAACGCTTAACATATTCATGTAACACTAACAATGTGATATGAATGTGCAAATATTGATAAATAATTTTAAATAGTCAAAGAGATTTGTACACATGCCTGTACGCATCGAATAGAAAAGTCAATGAAATAAAAATAATATTCAAATGTTTTTTTCTTTTTTTTTCTGAGAAACTTATTACAAACAACAAAATAACAATGTTTTGCCATTAACACGGAAAACGCGCAATATCTCAGATAAGTATGGGTCGAAGATAAATAATCAGCCGCCGGAAAAAGTAATTTTGTTTTTTTTTTTTCTAAACACAAAAAATAAATTTAAATAATTTAATCGCTTGTATTTTTAATATTTTATCCGTAGATTTCCAAAGACGATTTTTGTGGAAATGTTCTCCTTTACGCTTACTAAAGTTTATCCCTTTTTCATATAGTATGCAAGTAAGGAGATTATAGTTGGGTAAAACCGGCCATTAGATAACCTACACCATTCCGCCTACTAGAACTTACACCACCTATGGTACAGAGCTTATTAAGTTAATGTGGACCAATGACACGGAAATGGGCTTAAGGTAAACCTACTGGTTATTTTACCAAGAAGCCTCTCTGGCGGTTTGGCCTTTCCAACTAATTTCGTCACCAAGCTGCAGGTCGCAATTTTGGAGATGTTGTGATGAAATTTGTTGTTGTTGAGCCACAATTGTAGGCAATGGTTTTGAAATTTTCAATCGTTTATTCCTCCTCCCCTTGCTCTCGACTGAATATGAAAGTTGAACATTTGCAAAAGCTCTTTTTTATTTTTCTTACGCATATTTCATTGGAATTAATGGAGCGATTGTTCAACACGCTACGGTCAATAAGGGGGTCAATAGTACAGTTCATACCGCTGAGAGTTGTTTTATAGAATATGCGCCCAATGCGTTTGCCATTAGAATGATTAATGTGTAGATGTGTGTGTGCGCCGTCTATGTATGTATATATGATTGTGGATATGAAAGCAATTTCTCATTTACTTTGATTGATTACTTGATTGCTTTAAAAAGTAGTAAGGGTTTAATTACATATTAACGCGATGCTCTCTATTTCTCTTTTCCTTCCTCGCTTTTTCCCCCTCTTACATGGAATTATAAATCAGACATCTTTTTATTGTATTGTTAAATTAATGTTTCAAATTTTAACGCTCAGTAACATTTCACAATCACTTGTGCTTCATTAAATATTTATTTCAAAAAAGATCATGGGATTTACCGATGGTGCTATTTGATGAATTATTCATTAAGAGTAAAGCATTCATCAAACAGCAATGTTGAAAGTTAATTACACTTTAAACTTGATCGAATTTTTGATCACAATGCATAACTTAAGGCGTGACGTCAAGTTTCCTTCAATTTTCGAATTCTTCATAAAGTTTTGTGAGCGTAAGAGGGTCGACAGCGCACATTGCTCGGGCTTAAAGGAACTTAAACTTTTAGACTGCTAAGCGGTATTTTTATTCTACTGTGTGTCTTAAATATAAATTTTGTAAAAGGCCTAATACATCCTTTTTCGTAAACGTGACGCATAAAATTAAAGAATGTAAGGACGAAGAACATATTCACGAGATAATACCACCTTTTCGTGTCGTTTGCTTCTTGCTTTAAGTACTCCCTAAGTTAGGCAAAAAATTGCATGAAAAGAATGATTAGAGAACGTGGAGCAGGGAGCGGAGGTAGTCAATAAGTTCCAAACTATAAAAAAAATCAAGTTTCAGAATGTAATTTAGATCCGCGTTGCAGGTAGTTGGAACACAGTATAGAGACAAAAGTTTAATGAGTATTTGGAGACAAAAACAAGTACCACCCTACCATAACAAAAGAAATCCTTAATGGGGTTTAAGTGTTTTGCACACTCTAGGCATCACAGTTTAGTGGTTACACATAGACGTCTTTCAAATGCATTTCTTTCTGTTGGAAGCCATGTTTTTCGAGTTTAGTAAGCTGATCGGGTTCTTCTTACATTCCCCTCCTGGTTATCATGGATTTTTTATCGTGAAATACCCTACACCCTACCCTACACCACTTGTGGTGCAGAGTGTATTAAAATAGTACGGTCGCGTGTAACTCGCAGAAGGGCTTAAGATGGACCACCCTTTTATTATACCGATCGATTCAGGACCGTGATATGAATTGGTCTAACCCTGTCCGTCTGCCGTCTAATGTCTGTCCATGTAAATTTGTGGTCAAGCTACAGGTTGTAATTTTTGACGAAAATTGGTACATTGACGCGTTGTAAGCCAACGACGGCTTATTTTGAAAAGTGTTAATATGAATAACTATAGGATGGCGTAGGGTGATCCATCGTGGTGGTTTCCTCTGGTTAGAAATCAAATCAAAAAAGTTAGTTTAATTTAAGTAAATAAAAAGTGATATTATTCCTGTAGAGGGGCGTGACTGATGTCAAAGATCGTTCTTCTTTACACAACTGTTTTGCTTAAAGTTAAGAGTTGTTCTTAAGTTAAAAGTTCCCTCATCCAAACGCGCGTATTAAAGAACAATTTTTCCCAACAAATTGCTCCCCGAACATAACACTCTTTCCTACGGCAATGCTGTGGCAACTGTTGGACTAGACAATTAGTCGACTTGGTTGATTTGTGTGTCTGGCAATTACTGATTAAAGTTAAATAAAATCTTCAGCTCAACAGGGATTTTTCCTTTCATTGTATTGTTACTTTCCATTCTTTTCAATGGGCTCAGCAAACGGCCATTCATTGCTCATATACATATGGCCTGAAGACATAGGTAAACATCATTAAGTTAACGTGGTCCACGCCTGAATCTTCGTGGAGCCAATCAGTTAATCAGTTGAATTATTTTTTGGGCTGTAAATGTACGATTCGGAGCACACATATACGATCCCAAACTTTTACAAATTGTTACAATCAAATAATTCTAGGTAATTGATGCAATGATACTTTTACATTCACCGCTCTTAAGAAATACGGGCGTTCTAAATATATGTTCTGCGTAGTCTAACTTTCAAGTAAGAATGTTTCAGTTTATTAACATAAAATTTCGAATGGATTCGAATATGTTCGTTGGCATGCAAAAAATAAGAGGAATAATTGAAAGTTAGTGTTGGTACTTGAACACGAAATTTACAGTACAGCGATAAGGATATTGGATCTGCAGGTGCTTCAAACTTTTCACAATATGTGGTACAACGACTGTTAACTAGAAGAAGTCGGTTCTTTGATATGTTGAGCTTTTCTGCAAACGCTGTAGGAGGAGATAGGGTTTTCAGTAACCCGATAGCCTTAGATGCTAGTACTTTAAGACTTAAGCCTTACAATTTATTTCTCTGGTTAGGTTAATAATAATAATATTGATGAAAATTGCGGTTGTAATTTTATAAGATAACGACGGAAACTAAAAGAAAAAACAAAAACAAGCACGAGAGAAATTCCGCTTTGATATTTACATATCTTATCTTCATAACTCTTGTGATGAGTGACTCAAGGTTAATGAGTTGTTCATGGTGTACACTCTGTTATTTACCTTTCTTTGTTAGAAAACTGTTTTGTGTTTACTTAGCGAGTTATTTTTTTGGCATAGATGTGCATTTAATCGTTCATTATTTCTGGATGCCTGCATTTAGAATTTTGTGTTCCTTGTATGTGCAATTAGTTCAAGATTTACTTTCTTAATCTTGCCGTAAGTGTTAGTTGCAGTACTTTCTGGTATAGTACACTTGATTGAAATTTCAATGCGACAGTATATTAATTCTTTCATGCAGAGCGTCTTCAAAGTGGGTATATCATTACGCCAACTTGGATAAAGTGAGTTGTCCGCTTGAAACTCTGTTCGTTTATCATTCGTTCACACCGTGGCCAGTGTATCCGTTCATCCGCTTGTTTGGCGATCTCCGACCATGGATCCGTATGTCCACACACCCAGCTAAAGTCCAATCATTTCCGTATTCCATTCATGGACTCGCTCTTCACTCTACACGTCTGACAATTGCATTATATGATCTGTCAAAGTGTTAAAAACTCGGCCTTTCCATCTAAACACTTAAGCCAATTGTGTAGAGGAAATTAAAAAGATAGCGGAATTGGCCTGCAAAACGTAAGCAAACTTTTCAATGTGAATGACTGCCCAAGTTTACTCTATTTGCCTCAATCTATGAAATAATTTTGTTGCAAAATTCTGTGCAAAATTAGCCGTTCAAACGAGTTGAAAAGTAGTCATGAGTTTGTCTTTGTTTGCGTCTACGCAAATGATTAAATGCTAACGAGCATTGTTTGATAAATTCATAGGAAAAGGTTTCTTAGAAAGAACAACTACGGCTTCCTTTGGTAAAACAAGGAAATGATTACTCGATATTGATAATGGTGCACTTGTTCTACATATAGAGAAGCAATGGTTTGAAAATAAATCCTATTAAAGCCATTATTTAGCTATGCAGTGTAGATTCCTATCTACGCATTTATGTGTGCAACGTTGTGCAGTTTTCTATACGGATGATGCATTTAAGGAATTTTCCAACCAGACTAAGGAAGAATGTAAGATAATACCTTTTGAAAAGGTATACTCACATATCGTAATATATGTCAGAAATTTGTCATGCTAAGGCATTAATTTTCAAACATACGCTTTGTGAATATGTCGTAGTATTCGCGCAAAAACAATCTTTTTGTTCTTTACAATTTGTATGAAATTAACAAAATTGATTATCAGGAAAGTTACTTGAGCAAAATTTATTGTCAGCTCACCTCTTTAGAGTCGATATACGTTAAACACTACGTGGAGTGATTGAATGTTCAATTGTCGTATTTAGAGATAAGAGAAAAACTTATGTATTTTTGGTGGACGTAGTAATAGCGTCATCCAGCAAGCACACATCGAGAAGAGGTTGATCATCATTATCTCGTCCGTGTCGTGGAATGAGATTAGCTGTCGTCTTCGCGCAGTTTTAGTGCATTGCTCGTCGTTATTCGTTATGCTGTTACAAAGCAGAATATGTTGCAGTTACTCCAATAGCTTAACATGACCTTCGTTGACCACCGGCTCGATTTTATATGCTTAAGTAGTTAAAGGACATTTCTTATAGTTTAAGATCTACAATCTGTTAAGCCCTAGCTTGATAAGAAACCATAGCCGCAAAATAAACGGGTTCTCTCTAAAAGGAATTCGTTTAATAAATTTTTAAATTTTTTTTCATCTTCAATTTAAACTTTTTGCAGTCAATGACTAACAATTCTAATTTCTATATATTCTATGGAAATGTTGTTTGACCTTTTCCCCTATCTTTGTACATATTTTAATATATGTAGATTATGTTTTGCTTCACTTTTATAAAACATGATTGAGAATGTTTCAAAGTATTCAAAAAATTTCAAGCAGGAAGAGACTTAAATGCTGCAAGCTTTTTGCATGAAACGTGCAAAGACCTCAAAGCGAGCCATGTATCTAAAGTGTGCATATGTAGGCAACGAAGTATTTGCTGTGTTTATATAAAGAATAAATCCTTATAGAAGGATTAACGCACACATATGCATGTGAAACTTCTAAACTTCCAAGTATTCTTAAGGTAAGACATGCATGCTTGTATCCTAGAAGTGGTTTATATAGTGTAAATATAAATATTCCTTCTAAATATATGTACGCGTACACGGATATTTTGTCTCTTTAAATTATTTAAACTAAAAAAAAAATGTCGGTTGCATAGGATTTATAGGAATTCTTCAAAAGAAAGTTTTTGTGAAAGTAAAATCTCTTGCATTCCGTACTAGATTTAGTAAAATAAACGATTTTCTTAATTTCGTTTTGCAGTCACTTCTTATTACGTACATAGGTACATATATGTAATACGTAGTGTCTTTATTGTAAAAATCAGCTTATACGTAGACTACTTTCTTCCATCATTTAAGCGGAAACGCAAATTGGCATTTTTTTGGATATCAACGCAAGCCTTGCCTGGAGTAAGTTATCCTTTGCTCACTCAATTGAGAATAAGCTTGTAATGCGGACGTAAATCGCCTGGAGTTATATTGACAAATGTCCAATAATAAATAAATATAGATGCTTAGAACAAGAACAAGAGTAGGCAGAAAAGAGCTGACATCAAATAGTTAAGAGAAAATAAGTGAGTCAAAGTTCAAGTTGTAAGGTCGTGCTAGTTGATGAACTTTTTTATTAATTTTTTATTAATTTTTTTTGTTTTTTTTTTTTCGTTTGAATAAGGTTCTAATATCGTGTAAATACACGATATCTTAAACTCGAATTATAATAATAGATACACCATCATTCTTTATATGTGTGCTTGCATGTATGTGTAGATATGTGCATATAAGCAAATGAGTATATAAGCACATTGTATGTCTATATACCACTTATCCTTTCGCTGCATATATAAAAACATTGCTTATCATTGCTTTCATTTAATTTAAACTTTTAATTTAAACCAAATTTGTACTTGAGAAAGTGCTTGAAATTATTTCAACAATGAAAGTATTTTCAGAAAGGAATACTTAAAATATTCAAAAAACTGCTGAATCATTTAAAAAAAAAACAAATGACAGAGGAAAATCCAACTTGTCAAGGGGCTATGAAGTTTTACTTGTGACATCACCTATCATTGAATCCCTTTCACGTAAACCAATTTTTTTCTTTTCCATTTTAATTATTTCTTTTTCTACTTTTACGGATATGTGTGCGTAGATGTGTCTCTACATCGTAATTACATTTGAATTTGTTTTGGTTTCTGGTTTTTACAAGATATAAGTCAAAAGTGCTTGGCAGGCAACAATAAAATTTTCCAAGTACGTAATGACGGGCCTTTCATAAAATCAAATATAATTAATAATCTAAGAAGTAAGAAGGCGAAAATGAAGAAAACGAATACTCCAATAGCCTTAGAATATGAAACTTTTGTTATTTGATATTGTAAAGCATTCAAATTTCATTCATTATAAATCTTCTTTTCTTTTTATTTTCATTTCTTTGTAAGGAAGAATGTGCAACGATAACTGATTATTATTACTCTACATCAGCTCAACGTCGACTCTAATCAAAATGAAACATAAATCTGGTACATGACTTCTTGGGATATAACTAGAAGGAGAACAACATCGATAACATCAACATTCACGGACATGTTTGTTGGCACTTGCTGTTGTCAAAGTGCCAGGTGAATATAATGCCGCAAGAGACTAAAAGTATGAAGAATTTTTCGAGGTAAACAGAAATAAATTCCAGTAATTCTTGTGGTGTTTAATATAAACATTAAGCACAAAAACTTAACAATTCGTAGAGAAAGTTATATAGTGGCAGAGACATAGAGAGAGAGAGAGAGAGAGAGAGAGAGAGAGAAGAGAGACACAGATATGTACAATAAACAACAAAGCCAAATACAGATACCGCCGTCATCGTTATCAATGATACTACAACGTAAACGTTGCAATGGACAAATACATGAGTCGGGGACGTTGTGTGTTTTACTTACTTTAGCCGGCTTACTATTGGGGAGCTATGCGATTTTGCAGGCGTCAGAAGCAACACCCATTGTTAGTTCAAAAACAAGTGGCCACAATAAACAAGGACAAGAACAAAAACAAGAGCAACAAGAACAGCAACAGCAAGTGAATAGTGTATTGTGTCCTCACGTCAGTTTGGCGAAACTCATCAAAACAAGTCCAGTAATACTTAAAGCATTGGGTGCTCATATATTTACAAACGACGATGACGAGGACCTACGAGTATTGCAAAATAGCAACGATGCGTTATTGTTAAAGTGGCAAAATGAACAAAATAAAATCTTAATGTCATCAACAGCAGCAATAGCGTCTCCTCCAGCTCAGACATTTTTACCCAATACACTAGGTTTTAGGAAAACAAAAACATCATCAATATGGTTTACGAACGATGGTAAGAGTAATAGAAAGAATAGGGAACAAACAACGCAAACAAAAGCGCAAACCAAAGCACAAACTTTCAGTGATGCTGCCAGTAGTCGAGCCGCCATGCTGGCGTCTCTCAATGCTGATGCTATTTTAATAACATTAACACCGGAAACCGTATATAAAGGAGCTTCACTGCTGAAAATGGCACCGGGTGCTGAGCAAGCACAACGAAATATGCAGTCAAACTCGGGCCTTGGTACGGAGTCATCATACAATGCGGGCAATAGCGGTGGCAACAGTACTGGCAGCATCAATTCATCTGAGTCATCGTATCTATACGAAGGGTATGTATATGACCAGCATAAATGCTTTACCATATTTTTTTTCATTTGCTTCTCATTTTGTTGGTAATTTTCTCTCTCTATCTGCCCTTCTCTTTCTCTTCATTTCTGTTTATATTCTGGGGCTTTTCTTTCCTTTGTATACCTATCGCAAAACGACGCGAGTATACTAATTTGGTAACCATTTTTGTTACAACTAAAACACTTTCGTACGTATATATGCTGACGTATGTAAGAAATGAATGGCGGGTACATGTAATTCGCTTTAAATGATAAATAAAGTTTTCTCACTTGTTTTCCGTTACCCTTGAGAGGTAAATTAAATAAATTATCTCGAAACTCTAAGGAAATCCAGAAAATTATTTAATAGGAAGCATATGGCCACTTATGTACGACGGCGTCAAATGACCTTTTTTTATGATTGTGCAAGTGATATCAGCATGCTTGTGTGCTAAAAATATCCTTTACAGTGGCGATCGTATGGCAATTTTTCACAAATGATTTAAAAGAATTGAATAAAGACTTTGAAAATAAAACTTTAGGATATAGAATTGTGATTTCAGAGCACAACGCAAGCGGGAAGCAGTTAGGAAAAGCAGCTCTGACATTTACACCGTAGAATGGATATAATACCCGGTTGGAATGGTACGCTAGGGTTGATAGATCAAAATGAACAGAAAGCGAATCCTTTACGTAACCACGGCTAACGACTGACGCTAACTTTGGACAGCGGCAAGTCAGTGTTCGCGACTTCAAATTTCACTGGGGTGGGCTATACACGGCCGTAGCTGTAGCGAGTGCTCAGTCGGAAAAGGCAGAAAACTTACCCATTAGATTAGGACCTCATAGAGGTGACAGGTGATATTAGAAGAAAAAGGTCATCACTTCTAGTAGAATAGGTTAACTAAGCCGCTTTGATCGCTCGTCAACACACCGATAAAGAATTCCTTCTCATTACTATCCATCTAGTCCCAATAATGGCTCTCTTGTTGGAATCTTCCATTTGTGGAACATATATTTCTCCTTAAAAATATCTTTTTGAAGAGCCATTGGGATTAATAAACAATCAGTAAAAACCGATGCATTTTTCACATCGCGGTCTGCCCTCCAAACAATCATCTAGGCTAAGTTTACGTGCTCCCTTGGAATATGTTAAAGTTGCAATGTACGACATGTGCATCTTTATAAACAAAAAGAAGAAACGCTAAGACTGATGCACAACGAATAAAGAATGATTTCTTTGGTCTTACCCTACGTGCCCTCAGCCATTTATTTACCGCTTGTGGAATCATTTATTGGTGGTATTTCGGAGAGACATTATGCCTAATGGTCAATTATGGGCATCAGTGGATTGATTCTTACTGACCTTGCATATACATACATACATAGAATACGTCATCTTATGTGTTGACTTTACTTGGAGAAATCGTTGAAGAAACTTATCACGACAATTAGAGCGCAACATCACTATTTTGCCGAAAGAAAAAGATCTAACTTTTTGTTTTCTTTCGAAGCTTTTTCGCACATAAACTTTGCATCTTAACAATATCGAAGTATGATAAATACTGCAATTGCCTTACACGGCCATTACCATGTCCGAGATTATTCTTGTGAATCCAGAGAGAGCTATTATGACAGACTACCAAATTGACTAAACGATGGGATAGGGATAGGGTAATACCGCACCAAAGTTGCGGTAGCACTTTCGCCTTTTTTTGTTTTCTCTACTTTACCTTTATTCTTTCCTTTCTGTTGTTGTTGCAACCAAAAACTATTACAATTTCGAAAACACTTGATCATCTAGTATTACTTTTATACAACAAAATAGATTTTTACTTAATTCATGATGAGCGATGATGTGCATATGTGTTAATGTATATGAAGAAAATGAACTTCTCTCCCCTTTGCAGTTTATTCTGTACCATTCCATTTTTTTATTATTATTTTTATCTCGTTGTTTCCAAATCTTAAAACCAGTTCACAGTTTAATTCACAGTTTACTTTAAATTATTCTTTAATTCATTTATGTACTGTTTATGGTATAGCGATCTATCTATCGTATCAACTATTTTTGTAGGCACAATTATTATGCATTCACAAACCATAATTATCCTTGTTGATAATAACAATGGCAATAATACTTTTTTCAATTTATTTCCTTCACAAGCACAGACGTTATTTATTTACACATAGGCAGTTTTGTTTCTCGATTTTAGCCCTCAATAAACTACAATTTACATATCTTATTAATACTTTCTATTCAAAGACAAAGGAGCGACGCCGCCAAGTTTTCTTTTATGCAAAACAATTGCCATCTGTAATAAAATCATATGATTTGGTTCGCTTGCAGATATGCATTTCACGAAAGACATGAACATTTTTGCTGTTTCTTCTTTGCACTGTTCCTGCATTAAAACTTTTTTCAATTTTATTGCTTTATAATTTGTATAACTTCGTAACAGTAAACACATTTTAAGTAAAACGTAACAAAAACAATTAGGTAGAACAACCGATATCAGAAGTTAAAGAAATAATTATGTACAACATAAGGCATATTTTTATTGGCTCTCACCTGACAAGACCAAATGCTAACTGATCATACAAAACTCTCCTTTCAAACCTTTTTCTTCTTTTCTTATTCTTGCATAGCGGCCAGCCGCTATTCTTGAGATCACGCAACGTTGCCTAACGGCATGCCGCTATTATGAAATTTCGTGGTTAGATCAGACCGACTGAAACCTCTACCTTACATCGTATGCGGACACTGCAAATTCTATTTTAAAACTTTCTAATCAGGAGTAGCACGAATAGGGAAACGAACTTAACTACAAATAATCTAAGACAGTGGAAAAAAACTTAATATTGCTTTTTTGATATCAAAGAAACTTAATATACTGCTTTATAGTGATAGGTGCGAATGGTTGGTAGTTTTTAATAACGCATTTTAACCACTAGTTTTCGTCAGATTTTCTAATCAAAAATGATGCAATGCATTTTATTAAACGTTTTGCATAAATTTTTTGTATTCGTTTATGAAGACAATTGAACGCCACTGTACAACCATTGTCGTGTTTCGATCAAAATTTATTGAAATTACTGCCAAGTGAATTAATTGTGTTTGGTAAATTGCTTACGGTCAGACAACAACAGCAACAACAACAACAACAAGGATTAGACGATTTATTATCTCGTCAACCACAGTATGGGTCAATAGTTTCGGAGAATCAACAACAACAACAAAATCATCAGCAGATACAAGCAGCATCCTTAGGCGCTTTCTTCCCCGCTCCACAATCGTCTTCCGAAGATATATTGAAAATCAGCATAAATGGTTTACATCGTTGGAGTGCGCAATTTGAAAATTACATATGGAAGCATTTAGGTAAGTTTTTGGAACTAGAGAATAAAGAAACACATAAGGCGAAGTAAAATGCAGTTCTTGATGTTAATCTGAATAGATTATGGATATTATGAATTTGTACCGGGAACACGTGTGCCGAAGTGGAACACATTATATCTTCACCCTATTTCAATTCAGGGAATTGCATAAATTTTCATCTTCGTGTACAGCTATCGATTTTCTAATCTGGCTTTTAATTTTATAACATCCAGCTATTGTAGTTTTAGTTATGCGAGGCGCTTATAGTGCTACGGTTAGTTTTGTCTGTACCCATATGCATGTAAATAGCTTTCGTAATATATGTAAGTGTAAATGCATTTACAAAATTTTGCTATGAGTTCGTTTAGCATATTGTTTTGCTTCCTTTTCATAATCATTTGCATTCACTTCGTTCGTTGACATTTTGTCTCAATGCACTAAATATGTACGTATACGGATACGTCTGTGTCTGTTTCTTTTCATTTTTACCCCGGCTACTGTCTCATTCAGGATTCAGTTGCATGCATTGACACTTCTGCGCTTCATTGAAGTACACTTTCTGTGGAAAGTGAAAAACTCGTTATTATTTAGATTGAAAGACATGCTCCGGCTTGAAAATTGACTAAGTGTGTTTCATGTGCATGGTGTTGCGTTTCTTCTTCGGATTGTCTACGTACGCAAAGATTAAATGGCTTAATTTGCATGAACACAATTTTTACTGTGTGCTGTTGAGATTTGCATTAAAAAAAAAAAAATGTTTTTTTTAAATTAAATTAAACAAGTAAAAAAGTTATATTCGGCGGAGGCCGAATTTCGCCTACTCACCACTATGCTTGTCGCACTCTATTCGATATCCATGGCGCTGAAAGAAAAAACCAGGAAAAAAGTAATCGCGGCGTCTAGAACTAATAAACCCATTTTTAGACAGATAATATGTCTCCATTTGAGACATAAGAGCTAAAGTTTTTTTCTTGTATGCCCTATGATAAGCATAAGACCTCAACAAAATGAAAAAAATAAAATTGAATTACTCGTAATTTTGTGTGGGCATGGCCGATTGTTTACATTTTTGGACGTAAATAGTAGACTCTTCCGTAAAGTAAATGCGAAAAATTTCAGCCTTTTATCTCTCATAATTTCTGAATAACGAGCAAAAAGCCGCAAAAGAAAAAGAGTTTTATATAACAAGAATTCTCACACTTCACGCTTTTAGTTTTCTTTCACGGTCCGTTCACGGTCGATTATTTGCCTTGCGAGTATTAAGGTGTAGAAGCAGCTGTCTATAAGACATGCAAGCTAGCAGGCTCGATTGAGCAGTTCGACGGACATGTCTTACTTGGCTTGGCTTTCTTCGTAGGTCACGCATATTTTGGTTTCGAACATTCCGCTTATATGCCCATTTACCTTTTACTGATCTTTGACAAGGTTGATAAGTTATGAGGAGATGGGTCAATGCGATAAAAAATTGTCTACAAAGCGTGAGCAGCTAGAGAAGAAATCAAATTGAATGCGCACAACTTCCACGTGCCTTATAAAAGCTAACAAATTGTGGCTGCGAGAAAAACTGAACGATTAAGGCAAAATTTCGCAGTAGCGCGAAAATAAACCGACTTTAGATGCTTCACTTAATCAGAAAAAAGCCCCGCTAGTCCGCCATGGCTGGGGACAGCTTATTACGAAGGAAAGCAAAATATAATTTTATAGTGTAATCAGAGAATCATCGTGAAAAAGCTCGTGTTGATGAAAAGTTAACTCTGGCACAGAGAACACCCCTTCTGCCCTTTTTATGAAGAGTGCGGAGGGGAATGTTTGATTTAAAAAACCTATTGAACGAACTTGTTTTACTTGTTCTGTTCTATCTCTGTAATCTTATTTTGAAAAGTTTGAACCGATAGACCCCATGAAAAACATAACGGAACTAGCGTTCAAAATGTTTCTTTTCTCGGAAGATGAGAGCAGCTTTTCAGATTAAGAGCGCAAACGTTTCCCACTGTTGCAACTAAATGCGGCGAAGTGACAAATATTTCCAACCTTTAGAGCTGTCAGGATGACATAACCGTAGTAATTAACTTAAAATTTACTATATGTGCGTGAATGTCAACAAGATTGTTAGCTTTTGACACTAGGTTTCTCCTTTGCATGGCATAACTTCCAGCATCAAATCAATGACGCACATAAACATTTATGATCAGACCTTTTTGTGTTCGTTTTTTATTTGTGATGGCGGAGAAAGGAAAAAAAACGCTTTCTAAGCATATTTTTTGCGTTTACCATTAACGTCATACCACAAGTTAAACCATGAAAATTGCCATGTAATGAACTGATGACATGACAGCGATGAAAAGCAATAAAAATTCAATATAACTTTCAATTGATTCTCCGTAATTTGTTTGTATTTTGTTTTATTTTTATTATTATTGTTGTAAATTTAGCCAGAGAATAAATTCTAAGACTAAAGTCTTAAAGCACTAGCATCTGAGTCTTTCGGCTTTTACTAAAAACTCCATCGCACTTGAGATTTGAACCCATGACCATTGAGTTGCTAGTCGAGACTCTTGCCTACTCGGCCACTCAGGCGGATCTTTATTTTATTTTACCTATTCATACATGAAATTGAACTAAAGAAAATGACAGGCGAATTCAGTGCATCTTAACAGAGAATCTTATACTAATTGTTTTGAAAACTAGTATACAATAAAAGGAAGATGAAAAGAAGAATAATAATAACAAAGTAAGTTAAAAATAATAATTCATGTATAAATAAATAAAAAGAGAGAAAAAAAGAAGAGGAAAAATAAAAAAAGCATGTCCACAGCTAGCACAGAAGCACCCCCGCAACAAGAACAGAGAAGAGGTTGCAGGTGAACCCCTAAACCATTGCAAATAAGCATAAGATTGGCAACCGCCACGTTAACAACACAATATTATTTTGAATACAAAAAATACAAAAAATGAGATATTAAGAATGAAATGTTAGTTTAAGTACGACATAGGTAAATCGCGCATAATGAGATAATCGCCGATAATGAGAATCAGTGATAGATGTCATTTACGTTTCTGCAAACAACTCTGAGCGGATTAAACAGCTCATAATTGTATTTACATTGGCTAAGCTTAATCAAGGCAAGGTCCCTAGATAAGCGGTTAGGGACATTGAAGTTTATCCCACCAAGTAATGCAGTCGACTCAGTAGTACCATTTAATACTTTGATTAAGAAGGAAAGGATAATAGAAGCAATGTGTTTTGTATTTAAACAAATAAAAAATATGCGATTTTTTACTTTAGCTTCAATTGGTTCTGCACAAAAGCAAATCGCTAATGTTTGTAAGGCCTACAAAATATGAATCGAAGATTACATTTAACTGCACAGGGCAATCACATAAGGGCTGTAAACCTTTACTGGAAATAAAAAGAGAACGACAGAAGACATCATAGGATGTAAGATTTTTTTTTTATTCCAACATTGGTTTATGACCGCTACTGGATTTTTGCAAAAATTCGTTTCTGAAACACCAATTTTTCTTCTCTGCCTTTATTTCACCAATAGCACGGCCAATCGTGGAAAATAAGATTATGGAGAGTCTGGAGTGTATTGGACTAAGCCATAACTCCACAGAAGGAAATTTATCTTCTTTATCACGTGATTTTGGATACTATGCGGTCATTGCACGTTTTCGTTAGTACATTGATTGTGTCACGAGATGTCTCACATATTATCTAATTCAATATCGTTTAATTCGTATCACGACAAATCTGCAAGCATGTTTCTCTCTATGGCGTTCTCCACTGAAGGTAATGGCAAGGCCATTTTCACTATTCACACTGCCCTTTTCATCTCACAAACACTACTTTAAGGGTAATTTTTATGTTCGTAAAGTTTATTGGGAAAGGAAAAACTTTCCTTATATAGCTTCCAACAAAATGTATAAAACACAGCCGAAATGCGTTCATCGTATTCATAATAAGGTTTAGAAATTTCAATACGTTGCACGCTTGTCTATTTCGCATAGTTTGGTGGGAGTCTGAAGAAAAGCGTGGACTACATGATACTCTTATATAATGTATTTGTATAGCTCTTACGTGATCACCTTGTTTACGTTTTGATTAAAACAACCAAAGGAATTCATATAATTCCGTACTCCTACATGTCTAACTCTTAACATAACGATTGCAGCCTCAAGTTTCCCACAAAAAAAGTAGGTTTAATTTTAAATTTTAAGCCCTCAGGTCGCATTATGTTAAATTCGCCAACTAGCGAGAAAAAAGGAATTATGCCCACGCGTGTACCAAATATAAGGTTTAAAGAACTCGCATTTATTTTTGATGTAACGTAGTCCTTTTGTACTTTGTTGGCAGTAAGCAGTGAAAATAAGAAATGATGGATAAGAAGAAATTCAATTTAAGACGAATCGCCTTTTTTTAAAGCTGAAAGCAGAAGAGTTTGTTTACAGAATGTGGCAATTTCTGTAGTCAATAATTTATTTTGCTCTCTAAGGTACGCAAGGACTACCTAATTTATAGAACTCCTAAAATCCGTCTAGCTTTTATTACGCACATAAAAATAAAATCACTCAATCAAATTGAAATTCTTTCTCTCATATTTTTTTGAAGATTTTTTAAAAGAATGCTTTTTGTTCTTATGTTACTCCATAATTATAAAATAAATGGGATCACTACTTTTTAGAGTCATCAAGTTAGCCCTAAACTGTATAAGTATGTTAGCAAGCAATCTGAGACGCCATAGAAACAAGGTATACGAACAAACTTTTACTATTTCGCTATGAAAATATGATTTTTTCTATCATAATTTCCTATATCGACAAACCGCTCACGTAATTCATTGATAGCAAAAAGGAGAATATGTAAAATTGTTACAAGTAACGAAAAAGAAACAGACGTAATAAAGGAAAGTAACTCCCTGATTATAAATTAACCGCTTTATCATTAATACAATCATCGACATGCAAGCGTGAATGTGAACTAATTCAGATTAACTTATTCTGCAGCGACGTCAGCATCAGGTGGAACATGTCATTTAAAACGTGTCTTTGCTTTTATTTTTTGCGCTTTCTTTTTTGTATGTATTCCATGCACGTGTCATAATTATCTAGGTTGGGATGACTGGAGTGATTTTACGGTATGTAGTGTGGCATGCGGCAAAGGAGTACAACAACGTTTTCGTCGTTGCCTCTTGGATAATCCAATGGTTGATTTGAATATGGAGCATTATAAAGCAATCAATATGAATGCCGATAAAGGAGACGCAAATGATAGCTTGGTTTTCGAAGACGATGCCGTGTTTAGCGAGCAACAACAAATCACTGAAAACGATGACCTCTCAATTGATGATGGCGAGCACGAGGACGGTAACGATGCTAGCGAAATAAGAATGAATGGGCGAAATTTAATGCGGGAGTTGGCAAATAATGTTGTTATGAGAAAATCGGAAATTGTGGCAGACTCAATACAACAAGAATTTTCTGCATTTTCTGGCATCATCAGTGTTAACGCTACTAGTAATACTGATGATATTTTACATCATGACCAACATGTTGCGAATACGGATATGTTGTCAACGAACAACAAGTTAAAATTACTGAAATGGGCAAGCGGCGAGGATACGGCATCATCACTATTTCACATTATAGAACCAGTGAAAAGTAAATCACGTTTAAGTGATGTTAAGGTCCAACAACAACGACAGCAAAAACAACACGGCTTTGTTGAGGACCAGGGAGTACAGAGGGAGCAAAATGATGGAGAACTGGAAGCAATGCGTTTATTTGAAGCACATTTAAATAGTGAAAGTCAAGAGGAACTGCAATCGCTATCAACTCCCAACACAGATATGTTGTCATCGTCTACTAGCAGTGGCACCACAACAAACAGGAAAAATGCACGTAAACGTAAACGTCACAAAACAACAAAAACATTTTCTACCATGTCCTGCGAAGGTTACAATATAGAGCAGAGGAATTGCAACACCTTCGAATGCAATGGTAAGCATGAATGGGGGAAGAAGGCGAAACATAAAGGAGGATTAAAAAATAAAGAAAAATGTGTTTTTTTTTTTATTTGCATTACTTCCAGATGACATCAATGATTTAATGAAGTTCTATACTAAGAAGTATAGTAACAGTGACGAAGCGAACGGTGCATCTTCAATGGCATCGGAAGGAAATGCCACTCCCACTGATAACGTACAAATTCCAGCAAGTTCAAGCAATGAAATTACTGGCAATTTGTTGTCTACTGTTAGCATATCTTTGGAAAGGACTATAGCGAGCGAAATGGGAGGAGTAGCTTCAGCGTCGAGTAGTGCCCCTGGCTCTAGCACTAGTGTAGGTGGTATAGCGGCCACAACTCCATCTAATATAGGTTACGTTTTCAGTTGGCGTAACACTTTAAACTTCACCATAATGTTAACTTTAAGAGTTAAGGTAAATGAAAATTGGAAGAAAAATTTTTATTTTAAAAATATTAAAAAAAAAAATTCCATCTAACACAACATTTGTTCATCTCTTGTGTCTTCCTTTTGTTTACTATTCCTTTGTTCGCAATTTAATTTCCTTTTATTGCTCTTTGGGTGAATGGCCTGCGGCCATTGTGTATGGGTGTTTTTATTAGAATGATAGCAAAGTTAGTAGCAATGGTGCCACTAGCAGCAGCAGCAGCAGCAGCAGTAGCAGCAGCAGTAATAGTTGCGGTAGTGGTACTATCTTCTCCATACGTAATGTCACTCACAATCTGTACTTGGAGTCGTGCAAAGATGGCTTACGTTTGTATCTAGAGCGAGACAAAACGACCGAAATGTTGCCCATTAAATTTAAATTATGCGATTATCATTGGCATCAGATATCCATCAGGCAAGCGACTATATTTTTTATTTTTTTTTAAAGATAAGCAAATAAAATTTCTCTCGAATGTTTTATTTCTGGTTTAAAGTTTACACATTCCTTTATTGTTATTTTTATTATCCCTCACATTATTATGTTCATATAGCATACAAAATGGCGATTTTATTTCAATTTACGTCGATTGCTCATGGACGAACAGTTTTGTTGTTTCCAAGCGATTATTTTCGCTGCCGATAAATGCGGACGTTGAAATTGGCCGTGCATTTTATGTAAGTAAATGCTCATAACTGAGTTTAAAATTGATTTTTAAGTTTAATCAGCGTATTAATAAATTTAATTTTCAAATTTATTATTTAAACTTTGGAAAGAAAAGATCAGAAAAAGTAGTTGGGTTACCGCTTGGCGCAGTTAACGAAAAACGCGATTATCAAGTCGTTGTAGCCGAGTTGAGGCCACGACGCGTCCGACCAATACTACGTAACGACAGATTTAGAGAATCGGTGAAGGTTTACAACCAGTAGAAAATACACTTGCAAGGTTATGATTGTGTCCTATTCCGTTTACACGCTTAAGAGACATATCCTGAATGACCACAGCACAGGAAGGAACAACCTATTTTAGTCTAATCTTTCTATATGTAGCAGTTCCGTAGGCATTGCCGGATTATTCGTGTTGCAAAGAAGTAACAATTATCTTGATCGATTTAGCGAATGTTGCTCTCAAGAATATTTCTCTGATCCTGGGGCCCTATTGAAAATCGTGGCTTACTACTAGCAGATCCTTACGAAGCCGTTAGATGTTTAATAGTCTTCGACAATGATGACAGGCTTATTCGAGTATGAATATTGTAAATTGTTGAGATTATTTACTTTTCACTCTACTTAAACAAATGGCAACGTTGCGTTCATATGCAACGTATTATACTTGACCGATAATAATTAAAATTAATAAACATCGGTTTAATTTTATTTAAGCTTATGTAATCGGACTTAAGCTTAACTAACATCGTTTCGTTTTTTTATGATTGGACACACATCAGAATAACTGTCGCATACAGGACGGGGACTCCTATTAAATTTTTCGACTTGAATTAAACCCGCCCGTGTAGACTAACGTTCCACGCGCGAGAGCGAAATCATCAAACTGACTTCTTCTCTACTTCTCTCCTCTCTTCTCTAAAATCGGGAGTTCGAACTTAGCCGAATTTATTGCATCCTAATTCGAGATCAGATAACATTGATGTTGAACATTATTGGCCTATCCTGTTTTCTGCCCATTACTGTCCGCTACATCAACTACGCAGTGTGCTCTGACTATCCCGAAACCTTACATAATAGATTTAATAGTAAAAGTATGGAAAATATTTATTCTAGCTTTTACTCCGTGTCGGATGAAAATGGTGTACGGTTTTGGTTCCCGCAAAAAATTGATCAGCATTTTTTCCTTTTTCAATTCACTAAAGATTACCCTCATATGTATTTATAGCTTCTTATTAAAACATTCTTCAAATCGAAGTTTTTTTCTGTCATCTATAATCCCTGTCTAATAATCTTTTCGCATATTAGAGATAGGACGAATTAGAAAAACAAAAAATAATATATTTATGTAAGAGAGCATCCGTGGTATCGGGTTATAGTTTTCAACGGATTGTGAACTATTAAAAACTTGAACTTATGTCAGCTTTAAACTTCGGTCCTGTTAATGAGCAAACAATAGTGATGATCGCGTAAAGAGAGAAGTTAAAATCTTCTGGTCCAGGTTCTGATTAATAAACTTTAATTCTATTTTCTTATAAAAGCCATTCGGCGGTAGGTCTCTTGAACGAACTTTCGAGATATATTCCTTGAAATTTACAGAAAGTAAAATTTTCAAAATTCATAAGAATCAATTGATTTTGTCAAACTTGCTTTGTTTGCTACACTAACAAGGAAGAAAGGTCCGGAGATCCTGTAAAATAAAGTAATATTTACATTTCTGATCAAAACAAACTTCCAAATTGATTTAACCATGCCCGTCTGTGCATCTATGGTAAACATATACCTGAGCTAAGGGTGTCAAATTTGGCAGACACATTTGGGACGGTCATGCATGCAGTTAGTTATTGAAAATACGCGAAATCGATCGAATAATGTGCGTACAATATCGTGTAGGCTGAAAATGCCGCTCTTTTCAAAAGCAATTCAAAAGCGAGAAAAAATTGCACAACTCTAACGGTTAAAGGTATAAAAATTTGGGCTTATACCCCACGAACCATACTTGCTACCTGCACATCGCTATGGTCATGGCTACCTTAGTATTTCATTAGGATTTTCTTTTTTTGTCTTTCTTTCAAAAATAGGCTGTTGGTATAAAGTATTCGGTCATAACCGGATAGAATTTTCCTGCACTGTATGTTTGGCTATGACCTCATTCATGGCCCTTATTCGTATTTGATTTGGATGAATGTTAGCCGCAATATTAATATTTTTCCTTTTTGCATTTACTATGTTCTTTGCTCAACAACAACAGGGGGAGTTGCAGCAACTCCTAATATTGCCTGACAATCAAGAACGCCATCAATGTTCAAATAAACGAACGTCCATTAATGAAGTGAAGCGTTATATAATCGACACGTTTATCGATGACTATGGCAACTAAAAAATATTGTGGAATTTTCTATTTTCCTTATTAAGCTCAATAATTGTAAGAATGACGGGAGAGAATTGTAATTAAAAGCTAAACAAAACAAGAAGAAAGAAGTCCGCTTAAGGCGAGAGACTCTTTTTGAGGTGTAACTGAAAAAGCAGAAAGGAAAGATGTCCAGAAAAAGATAGGAGGTGAAAATGATGATGTATAGAAACGATGCAAAAGAATTAATAATAATAATAATAATAATTAGCAAAAGAATACAATAAAGAGGAAAAAATAATAAGAAATAAGAAATCTGTAAAGCTCTTATACTTTAATATGATGTGATTAATGTTTCCTAGAATGAATCTATTTATATACAAATAAAAATACATAGTAACAAAATAATGCTATTCGTTTATCTATGAGTTAGTGTGATGTACTTCATTATTATTAGATTTAATAGTTCAAATAGGAAAAGGTCAGAATAGTGAAACGGTAAAAGGCGAATCTAAAGGATCTAATGGATTAAGTGTTAATTTAGTTTGGTCCTTCGTTTGCAATAAATTTATTATCGTGACACATGCGAACAGTTCGGCTTGAAGAAGTGATGATATATATATATATATGAGAAATATATTATATTTATAACTAACGGTAAGGGTGTTGCATATACAACATAGCATACAAATCTGTACAATAAATGTGACAAAAAATGAAATAAAAAATAAACAAAAACTTAAATTCCATAATATATTTTATAAAATAAGAAAAGAATTGTAATCAAAAGTTTATCATTGCCATCATCAGTCGTAATCATGCGTACTATATATACACATTATGAGTAGATTTATGATAAGTAAATATAAATTTGCATATGAGAACAATAAATATAGAATTGAGAATAAAGTGAAAAGCATTTGGATCAAAAAAAAAAAAAATATACAGAAATAAAATTCGATTGTTTATTGCAGTTTAAGTAGAGGCCTTAAACTACTTTGACGATTTATTGGTGTGCCGATGGGTCTTCTTGCTCTTCGAAGAATAATACCAAATCGAATGATGACAGTATTTAGATGAGGAAACAAAATGAGTCCCTCACTATTGTATGTTATTCTTTTCCTTTGTTGATAATCCGGATCGTTGATACGGATCGTTCTTAATCCAACAGCAGAAATAGAGCAAAAGAGCGATGGTTTGACGTATTTAGAGCTGTTGCCCTTTTGAATTGCTCTCGCCTGCCAATTACACAGGATGGAACCAAAGTTGCATACGTGTACCGCATCGTCTTTTCCCATTTTAGTGAAGAGCGGGGAAAAGAAAAATGAGATTCATGTGTTGATATCGTTGGTGGTCACTTACAAAACAGCTATCGTCGATTATCATCCGGGAATCCTTCATATCACTAATGAATAAAAGCATGAACTAGACTATCATATGAGTCGCACTACGCTGAACTCTGCAACTTTGAACGAATTTAACAACGAATCGTTGTGTGTTGCGTCAAAAAATTGCGCTCTGTAACTCATATCGTTGAACGATCGCCTAGAAACGCTTTGGGGTTGAATTACAATCAAATACTACGCTGTGTAATTTTTCTATTTTAACGATGAACTAATAATGAAATCTGAGTACATTTCGGTCCGAGTTTTGACCTAGAGGATATGATACAAAAATAAAACTGGGCTTGTATGCTGCCTTATTTTGATAAGAATCTGGAAGAGTTGAATGTGGATCATGCGTCATATATTAATGCAGACTTGAAACCCCGTTTCAGTAACGCGGTAGAAAAGAAAGCGAAAGATTACACAGCTTCAGTTTTCTATCTTATTAAGGATGAAGAAAATTTGAAAACTCAACTAAGTGTTGGCTCGCGAGTTTACTTAATTTTTCATAGCAGCTTCCCAAATGTGCTAAATTTGTCTTAACCAATGTGACATTTCATTTTTGGTGAAAGTGAAAGAGGATTTTCTTACAGTTTACTTATAGTACTATTTACGCGGAAAAAGCTTTTGATGGGCTCCCTCACTTATATGAGCTCTCTTGTTACCTACGTGGGACGCGTGATCTAGAACGATCGGATTCAGTAAATTTAATCTCTCAACGACTCCACGATTGTTATTCTTTGGTTTATAATAAATACCTTCATCTTGTCTTCATCATCTTTAACTGGTCTTCCAGAACGTAGTGAAACTTTGAAGTCAAATTTGCCACAAAACGAATTTTTTCCAAGCATCTTCGTCAGTGGCATTTTATCAATACACTTTCTTCGCGCATTATCATGTCAAGCTAGACAATCTTTGTTATATAGTGATCGAAATAAACACTGTGATGATACCCGATTACACATGCAATTGCGATCTTGTGTCTGAGAGTAACGCCCCGGCTTATTCCCAGGATCTTGTTAGCAGAAAACCGATCTTCTTCCTGCCTCTGGTTTTGTAATTATAAAACACTTTCATTTATCTTTCCTACAAAATAAAACCTCTTTGTTTATTTGCATATCGAAACCTAGATTCCTAATCGATCAGTCTATTTTTACATGAGTACACCATGGGCTTTTATTTATTTATCTGATTGAGTTTGTACTCCTTTTAAAGACCACATTTGCAATAAAAACTCTACGTCTTTCGTAATAATAGTCTACGCGATGCTTACGCGTGTTCCTTTTAAATAAGAAGGTTATTATCTATAGACTTGAAACAACTCTTAAAATGAGTAAGTAGCCTCTAGCCCAATTTATCGGTTCTCGTTGCCTGATAAAACCTGTATGATTCCTGATTGCAATGCTTACGCGGGCTTGGATTGGTTAATGGAAACGATGATCGATAAGAACTGAAACTACGATCAGTCTAATCCTCTAATCTCTCTTCGAAGAGAAGGCGTTGCCTTTCACTTGCGCGAAGTCAGTTGATATGACTTCCTGGCAGTTTCGCATCATAACTTAATACTATCTTAAATTCTTAGAAAGGATTAAAAAATAACTTGGCGGTAAGTGGATGGGAGAATTACTTATGCATTTCTTTTTTACATACTTACAAGTGCGAATAAGCTTCAAAGGAATGAGTTTTCAAATCAAAATTAAAATAGAAAAAACTTAACCAAATAATCACAAATTTTTATTAGAAATGACTTTTTATTATTCATTCCGGCATATCTGCGTCTTTCTCGGAAGAGATTTCGTTTACATTTAAAATTTTTTTCCTCTCTCTATTTCATTTTTCCTTGTCGTTCGTTAATTAGAAAACTAATTACGTTTCAAACGATAGCGGCGCAATCTCGTTTTGCTCTCTCAATATTGTTTTTGTCGCTCCTATCATGTGGAAACTCAAAGCCTACTGAAAGAAGAATATCATTAAAAATAGAAAAGAAAAGAAATTGCAATTACGTATCCAGCGCTTGAATTTTTGAAGTAAATCACAAATTTCTTTAAAATTTTTCCTGCATTTATGCGTAAAAGTATTGATATTAAAAGAGCAACTGGATTATTGATAGAGCAATCATAACCTGGGCTATGTAATCAATGCAAGGAAATCGCATTCTATTTTGCTCTTCAGTCAAGTACTTTTGCAATGGATATCAAAAATTTTGTTTATTTTTTTATGTAAATATTTTATTCTCTCTCTCTCTCTCTCTTTCTTTCTCTTTCTCTAATTGGAAGTTTCTTATGATGAAAAAGTGAGAAGATTCAATGTTTCATTTATATAGCAAGTGTCCAGTGTTCATGATTGAAGGTAAATATTGAATATTTGGAAGGAAACCTCATTGGATTATACCAGTATAAGATGCTGGAGAACGATTTTTTCATCTGCCTACTTTTCAGTATGCTCAGTCTGCTCAGTACGTTGTGCCATTCGTAAGGCGCGTCCGACGTAATGCGATAAGCGTTCCGATCGAACATCAGACTGTTCATTTTGTGCCTTCTTTTTATTTTTGTTTATTTGTGGTGCTGGCTTAGCATGCGGCTGTCGGCCCATCTATCTATCCGTGGTTTCATTCATGGATCTCTCTACATTCTCTATCTGTCTCTTCGCCGTCTGTCCCACAGTAAAATATAGTAAAATGTATTCGATACATTCACATTCTTTATTATCGGGTAACAAGAAGAGAGGAATTTATTGTGGTTTGCAGCCTTAATTAAAAATACAATTTTGATAAACGAAACTTCACTCCTGATATATTTTATTTATTTATTCTTTTTTTTTTTTTTTTTTTTTTTGAAATTACTTTCTCGTTTGAAAAGCGCAAATGTATGCATATACAAGATGTTTAGATATTTAATCTCGTAGGCTAATGACTTTCCTTGCCTCTCTTCCCAGTTAGTTTGTTATTGTAGTCAGTTATCAGATTGTTTTAGTTGGGCAAATGTTTCCTACGTACACAATAGAGGAATTTTCTCATGCATGCAACTCGTTGTTGTTTACAGTTTAATTTCATTTTTGTTCATATATATATATATATAAATATGAGCTAAAATTTCCAATTTCATGCTTTTGCTATTTTGTAGTAGAATAAAAACTTTTTTTTATTTCTTTTGTAACAAATCGTATCAGATTTTCTTTGTAATCCTGAGCAGTCTTTATTACAAGTTGTTGACGTAATGAAATTGAACGTTAGGATGAGGGGGGGAAGTAAACTAAAAGTTGTATTGCTGCAATATATCTACATGAATAAAATACCAACCAACCAGAAGAGCATGTTGTACACAATGCGAATCATATCAAAAACAAATAAGCGATGTAAATAATACCGTAAACCGGTAGATGTAGGATACGATATATGACTGGTTTTTTAGTAAATTAATACCATATGCTCAGTAAATCACTTTTGCATGAAATGAATCTCGGAATCGTTCACCTCTGGAAAATATTTAAGAAATGCTTTGGTTTTCACCCAATTTCCTACTAAAATTCTTTGTATGAAAATGTCTGGTGTGCATCGAAAGTGTGATTAAAGAGAATTGTGAAAAATTTTTTTTTTCTTAGCCTATTCTCAAATACGCAAATCTGAAACAGGAATTTGCCAATAGATGGGCCTGGCTGCGAATGTGTCAAATGGTGTTGTTGGAGCCATTTTTGGCTGACATCGGCTTTATATAGCAGCCTCTTTCGTACCAATCTTCCTCGAAAGATGGGAAAAGAAGCCGCTTTTGCACGACACTGTTATTCAGGATGAAAAGTGGATTTATTTTGGGAATCCAAGACGCAAAAACCCATCAGTAAGTCTAGCGGCGTTATTTATCTCGACTCGGTTCAGAGAGCCCTGGTATGTTAAAACTTAGTGACAAATGGTCAATAACAGCAAAGAGCATTCATATCACGAATCAGAAGTATTCAACTGGGAAGTTCTAACCCATGCGGCTTAGAGATTAGCCGCGATCCGATTGCCACGCGTTCGCATCTATGAGTCATTTCTGTTAACGAAGCTAATATTTCAAGAGATGTCCTCTACAAGATTTGTTATCATTTTCTTCGCATTGTCCTTGTACTGAGTTACCTTGAAGTTTGTTCTGATTCATAGAGAGTATGTAGCCTCTCACTTGATAGGTATCAGAAGATTCGCATTTAATTGAAAATTTATTTTGCGGTTCATAGTTTTTCTTTTTTTTTTTT